AGTTACATTGAAAAAGAAGCTCAGATTAAGAGGATGGTTGCTGGAAATCCGAGAGACATCTCTCCTCATTGCTGCTTGGAAAAATATCTTTGGAAATAAACGTAGCACCTTCCTGCATGTTTTGATTTATCACATCCGATTTCATTTTGTCCACTTTAACGAGGCATCTGTGTGATCCGCACCAAATACTGCACTTTCGGTATGTCACACTTCTGTCATATGACCATAACCGGGAAAAAGGTTTGCTATCATGACACACAGTGTTCACTCGTTATTTGTGGGGATAGGGACAAAATGTGAATAGCCAAGTGGAAACATGCAAGTAATCGATGTCACCCCCCTGCACCCCCCCCAAAAGTTTCCAATTGCCCATCGATGCCACAAGACAGTGACAAAGCACTAATTTTCTATTAGGCAAAAGAATGGCCTGTCGAAATGAAGCTTTTCCCTCCACCTCAGCAGTTCCTTGGCCCCAAGATGCCACAAAATGGCGCCAGAGCAATACTTTTATATCAGACAGGGCTTTGGCCGAAGCACAAAAACAAACAACAGCTGAGATTTTTGTGAATAAGGATGGATAGTTTCCTCCAGAAATGCATGAATAGGTGAATCCACAAGTAACAAATCATGAATCTGCGAGGAACTTTCCTTCGCCTTTCCTTTTTTTTTTTTTTTTTTTTTAATGCAGCGAAGTTGTCATGAATAGCCAGATCTGATTTAGCCAGTTGGGAAAATGAGTCGTTGCAGAAAATAGCTACAGTCGTCAGAAGTTGCTTCCAGCCACCAATAATTTTCCACAAGGTTTACCCCGGAACCATTAAAGCAATTACAGGGTATTGTTTTTGCCTGCCCACTTTATTCTAGCCTTAAATTGAATTGAACTCTCAGCACAGAGGGAGCTATTCTTGTACCTGATTGAAACACAAGCATACAACTATTTGGTGTGACTTAAGTACACAATGCAATGTAGTCTTCATCCCTTTGCCTTTTTTTTACCTACTTCTTTACATTACGGCTTTTAATTCAAAATATTTTTTTAATTAAAATTGAATTTGATGGACAAAGGTTTTCAAGTGAGATGAGAAATACAGTGCATGTATTCAAAAATATCATTCTTGGAAAGTAAAAAACTGAAAATTGGCACGTGCATAATATATTCCACCCTTTTGTTATGAAGCCCCGAAGAAGCTCTGATGCAACCGCCATAGACTGCAGCCACCTGCAATCATACCCTTTGTCCCTCCCAGAGCTGTGCTCTGTCTTTTTAATGCAAGCCACCAGTCAAGACTCCTTATCTAACGACCACCCAAACCAAAGCCACCTGTCATTCCAAAAGTGCATAACCATAGCTCAACTTTCGATACAACTAACATCCTTTTACTTGGAGGGGTGAACTTTCATGTGAACATTCCTTCCAGTGCCACTGCAAGAGAATTTCTCCCCACCCTGGACTGCCTTCACCCCAACACATCTCATCGCCCCAAGAACAGCATCCGCACAAACGTGGTAGCGGCAGCATCATGCTGTGGGGATGTTTTCCAACAGCAGTCTCTTGGACCCTGGTTTGAATTGTAGCGGTTTAGGGAATGATGGTTAGTGCTGAATAGTGATATTCTGGTGCAAAACCTGTGGTAGCCTGTTCAGTGACTGTTAAACTTGAAGTAGCTGGAGTAGTTTTCCTTTGAGGCATGAGCAAAAATCCCCTGTGGTAAAATGTGGCAAGCTCCTAGAGACTTATCGAAAACGACTTGCAGCCATGATTGCTGCGCAAGGTGGCTCTACTACAGTGGCTCTTAACCTTGTTAGAGGTACCGAATCCAACCAGTTCATATGCACATTCACCGAACCCTTCATTTGTGAAAAATAAAAATATGATTCAAGAAGTGTTCCTTCAGTTTTGAGTTGCTCAACCTGGTATGACAAATCATGCAGATAGGACACTGAGTCCCATCACTTTCCGTGGTGCATGTGAATCAATGTAAATATTCATCCGACCGCTTTTTTTTTTGCTCGACACAGTTAGCATGTATTAAAAAAAGTTCTAAAGAAAAAAATCACACGACATACGATCACAACCGTCACACGTCGACGACTGAGCGAACTAAATTTCCCGCAGCACTGATTGGACAAGCCATGTAATGTGATCATCTGCAGCGGTAGATGTTTGTGATTAAAACCTGCAGTGCTTTTGACTATATTGTTCGTTCTTTTTCTGTCAGATGGAAGTACATGACTGTGGAATTGCCCCTTAATATCATGCTGCAGCTGGTTCCCGACATAGGACCCATTAACAAAGACAATTACAAATGGCAGCTTATCCTGAGAAAATATGTTTATTTGTTTTTCTCTTTTGCAAGAACCTGGCACGGTCTGCTATATTTACCCTCATTGGTCTATCAGTGGCCCCAGTCTTGTGTGTGCTTCTGGCAGATATGAATGCTTTCTTTTAGTCTGAGCCTGACTGACTCTCTTATCAGTGCACTCAGACCATTTGTTGAAGTACCTGGCTTATGTTAAGAGGCACGCCCAGAGTTGCTGCCAGTTATTTTAGCCCTGTGAAAAAAAATATTACAAATTAAAAGTACTGTATTCTAAAGCCACTGTTGACCCTGAGCCCTTGGAATCGTCCTCACTTTTCTCCCTTTCATGGCACCCCTGGTCACACCACTGGAAAATCCCAGAAGCTGATTAGTGGAGTTCAAAATAGAGTTAAAAGTTGAGCTTTAAAAGGATGCTCTCAGAAACTGTCTTTGCTTTATTTTATCACGGTATTTCTAATATGTCTATCGTCAGGCGTCCCTTGCAGCCCTCAAATATATATTTAACACAAACCTTTGGCAAACAGCTTACGTCAAGAGCTGTGGACTAGTGGTAAAAAATGCCCCGAATGCTCCCTACTCCTGGTCCAGTATGTCACTAATTGGAGTAGTTCTTTTTGAACTTGAACTTTTCAGCTCACACAGCTACAGTTCTACATTCATTTTTTTTCCCCCTCAGTTTAATATGAAGACAAATGTTTCAACGTGCATGTCTTTGTCCCAGTTGTATTATGCGTTGGTGGCCCAGATATATTATGCATATCTGAAGTAACCTTCCTCATTAAAGCCTTAATGTCGGCTATTCATTACCCTGGGCACAAAGACTAATGATACAATTAATCAGCTATGAATGGAGCTTGGCGATGGCAGCAGGAGGCTGACATCTCCTTACTGTAAGAACCTCGAGCCTGCATGTTCAAGACTGATTGAACAGACAAGCACTGGTTACTCTGCAGCATGTCAATTATTTGCACATGATGTGAAGATGGAAGCACCATTAGTGTCTCGGTCTATCCCACGATGCTCTACTCAACCTCTTCTTGGGCTTATTTAAGAAAAGAAATTGATGGACTCGCTGTTTCAGAAAGACGGAAAAGCACCATTGGACAGGATTGTTCATGTCTGCTCATTTAATCATGACAGAGCACTTTGTCTACATACTCCATACCTGATGAGATTACATTTTAGTTCAGTGTACTTCATTAGACTTTGGGTCAAATTGTCCAACATCTGCCTTTGTGACAAGGTCTCTCTCTCTCTCTCTCTCTCTCTCTCTCTCTCTCTCTCTCTACATATATATATATATATGTATAAAAAACACACGCACACACATGTTTTTTGTTTTTTTGCCCATGTCACACAACTCTTCTGGCCGAGTCCCTATCCCCGCAACGAGTAGAGCAGGCTCAGAGGGGATCGAGCCTTTTCCGTTCCCGGTCCCTCTCTTTGCAATGACCTCCCGCTAAAGGTTAAGCAAGCCATCTTGCTGCCCCATCTTTAAAACTTGTCTTGAAACTCATTTTTATTCTTTGGCTTATGACTGAGCACGAGTGTTGATTCTTGTTTGACTGTTTTTGTGCTTTTTACTCTCTTCGTTAGTAATGTATTGTTTTTAGCGTTTGCTCTTGTACAACTTATTTTTGCTCCGTTTACAGTGGGGGTTGTTTTAAAGTGCTCAATGAATACAGTTGAGTTGAGAGGAGTGTGTGTGTTGACCAGCATTTGTTACTTTGAAAGAAGATAATTGCACATCTTCCACAGAAATCCAAGTGGACTTGTTTGATTTGTAAACAAACCATTGAACGGCAAATTAGTGGTTTTGTCCTGATGGAGTGCCAGATAAATAAGACAGCTGTCACTTGCATTTCAAAACCGTCTGTCCATCAGCAACACAAGGTGCACTTGCTATGTTACTTTGCTGTATTTATGTTTTGACCCCATCACTTCTCCTGACCCGTGCGCAAATGGAAATGTCTTGTGCACTGACTCCCTTTCTATCTGGTTCCGTCTCACCCACTAGCCAAGCAAGTGGAAAGCAGATCTTGCTCCGTCGTGCCACAGTTTGTTCTCTGCTCCCCAATCCCAACAAAACCCCGATCAATTTAAATATTGCACTAGCATTTATGCGGCCAGGCTGTAGAATGAGATTGAAAAGTGTTTGCACAAATCTAATCTCATCAGGCAAAATCTGGCTTGTCTTGAGGACGCTCCTAGCCTTCACAATGAACTTCTGTCTCAGGATGCAAACGGAGGTTCATGTCGAAAAAGAGCCAATAAATATCAATTATAAATAACAAACATTTTCCCGACTAAAAGGAGTTGTGTAAATGTCATGTGCAATTGACTGTTGTGTTATAGAAAGCAGTGTAAATCTGCACGTGTAGTATCCCCTTGTATTGTGCTTTGTAAGTGTAGTAGAACAGTTTTATTTCTGTTTTCTTGTGACACCAGACGTCTTTTTTGTTATGTTGTTGTTATTTTGTTTTTTCTTCTGTTTTTGTTTCCTTTCTTTCTTTCGTTTCACCTTCATTTCCATTTCACCCCCTTTTCCTCTCTCCTCAAAACTGCTCTCTTTTTCTGGGCAATATTTCTCCCATTTCCACCCCCATACCGTCTTGGTTCCCTCTGTATCCTCCCTTCCTTTCCCCCCCAACCCTCCCACCTTCTCTTCCCGACCCCAAGACGTAGCCCTGCCCCCTCTCCTTCCCCCCTCACTGACTCCTAACACTACTGACCATGTAACGCCAGGCTCTGGGGGTGTAGCTGGTCCGGCAGGACCCACTCCCTCCGCCCCACGGGATGTCGTGGCTTCGCTGGTTTCCACCCGCTTCATCAAGCTCACCTGGCGCCCGCCGGCTGAACCGCACGGAGACGAGCTAACCTACTCTGTTTTCTACAGCCAGGAGGGCACAAGCAGGTAATACACTGTCTACATTGTAATTGTGCCATGGGAGTGCTCCTCTGTGAGGAGCCGCTGTGAGTGCATTCCTGAGCTTCTGGGCATCCCGAAAGGATCTCATTAAAGGAGCTAAAGCGCTTTTAAAGCAGTATGTGTTTATTAATTAAAGCAAATTATTTCCTCTAAAGGGTTTTCATTGCAATGAACAAACACCAGCACCCCACAAAAAAAATGCAGACTTCTGTGCATGTTAGTTACAGAAAATTAAAAGTGGAATTTAAGTGGCTAAGAGTAGTTTTGCATATTCTCATGTTCACTTTCTCCCTCTGCAAATGAGTGCTGTATTCATTTCTTTTTTCTTCTATACTTGTATATCTGTTCTTGATTAAATATCCGGAGCTTTCTACATTGTTCATTTCCCTACACACAAAATGCACTGCGTGGTCAGAAGCCCTGAGTCACCTAATAATCAATTTGGTAATTGTTGAGGACTTGGGCTCAAGCCTGTTCAACTCCCTGAATCTTAATGCAAAGCTGAGCAAGACATTTTCTACGATTCTACGCTTCCAGTATGTGTAGAAATAACTTGGAGAAGGCTGTTCTCCGTTCCACCATGACTGTACCCCAGCACTCAAATGAAGTCCCCTAAAGGCATGTTGGACCACTTTGTTGTAAAAGAACTTCAGAGACCTGGCTTCAAACCCTCAAAAGTGACCGTATGACAAAAAGTCCAAGAGTCACTCTCCACAATTATGCAGCAATTTTTCCCACAGGAATAGAATTTGTTACCATTGCAAAGGGCTACTGTAACTGCCATTTCTTTTCCTCTCTCCATTCCTCTTGATTTGATGGCCGGGTGTCCCAATAATTGCAGCTTTCCTATCTCTTGCCTACTATAATAACACACTGAACCCAATCTGAGCTTTTTCAAATCCCCTTTCATTTGTGTTGTATTATATTTATGGCTATTATGTATGTCATAACTAATGAGAAATCTATCAGAATAATGTCCAGTCATTCTATGTGGTCAAAAATTCTGAAGTTTGAACAGTTCTCCAAAACAAAGCACCTGAAAAGTTGGCTTTGTGTGTGCCAAATGACCATTTAATTTCCCTTTCTTCAAACTCCCAGACTGAGTAAAATACACAATCGATCACGACCATCCAGTTGTCTGCCGCCACAGTAAATGAATGACTTTAGGTCGCTGATCCTTTTGTGAATGTGACGTTGCCCATGTTTGTGATTACAAATCAACTGTTGCCAATGGAAACCATCACGGTGAAAAATACAGTTAGGCTGATGTGTATGTGTTTGTTTGTGTCCACATCAGGGAGCGAGTTGTAAATACAAGCCGACCAGGGGAGTTGCAGGTCACCATCCCGAATCTGATGCCAGACACCAAATATCGCTTCAGGGTTGTGGCCCACAACATCAATGGTCAAGGAGAAAGCTCTGCGGGGCTCAAGGTGGCCACCCAGGCTGAAGGTGAGGCAAACACATCTCCACCTACATGGGCACACACACACCACACAGGAGCGCGGTTTGTCTGTGTGCTCAGTCAATAGGAAGCGTAAACAAAAAGACAACCTCCAGCTAGCTTTTTGGCAACCTACTCATACTAGCTCACAGAGGAAAACAGGATGCACTCAAAGGAAGCACACAAATGTGCAAATAAACCGTCATCCGTGCAAATATGCACTGGCATCCACAAACACTCGCTTCAAACGAGCTCCCACCGCCGAACACAGTCACACATCTCCGAGTCTTTTTAAGCTCGACCACCCAACAACACACCAGAGACTTACCGAATTCTCTCCTTGAGAGCTGCCCCATGTTTACCCCAAAGCATTGCTTAAGTCTTCATGTGCTTTAGCTACGTGAGTAAGCTTTTATGTTCGGAAGTGCATCCCCCAAAAATTGTCTGCTTTTGAGTCCCTCATTAAAATGCTTTGACTGGAGGAGACTTATGAATCATAGAGGAAAATGGGACTTAGTGGTTCTCTTTTCTCTCTTTGTGTGCGGAGGTGTCATCCCCTCACCTTCACCACCGGCGCACCCGCTCTTATCTCCGTGTATAAAAGAGCTGTGAATGGAATTTCCCTCCACACTGCCTCTTCTGATGTTCTTTAGCTGCTGGCAACATTTCACTCACTGTCACTTTCTCATTCAGTCACTGTCTTTGTACCCGTGTCCTTGCTTAGAGGGCAGGCAGATGAGTCAACACAATTTAGTGCCAGTGGGAGCCAAGCTGTCCAATAGGGGATAGCAAGAAATAGGGGGGGATAGTATCCAGGTTTACCTGGACACACCATATTTCTGTCTCTTTTGAGCTCTTACCTTCAAATTGGAGCTTAAGCTTTTGATCTGGTGCCGACAGCATACCGTAGTTTTTCAGCGACTGGCTTAACATGATGCCGGCACTTTCAGACTATATGCACACTGATAAATGGCAGCCTGTCTGTCGTTTCAGGAATATCTGCAGCAAAGCTTACGATATAAAGTATGGAGACGTGTGCCTTACATACTTTGCAGTCTCAGCCATATCGTATGTGGCAAAGTGAAGTGTTCTGTGTAGATTTTCCGTTTATTTGCTGCTCAAAGCCAAAACTCGTGATTAAAATTGAACCATTGTATTTTAATGTATTTTGCAATTTTAATACAATTTTATGACTATGATTTGCAGATTTTGTGGTTAATACGCCACTTTCAATATGGCAGCCGTGTCACCCTGACAGGGGCTCCCGTTCAAGGCCATGTCGGCAGCAAAAATGTTTTAAAAAATTAAAAGAAAAGAAAAATGATCTTAATTTAAAATGTCAAAAGGGTTTTAGCTGCCATGTTTTCTTTTCTGTTTGAAAGCTCAAATGGCCTGTTGAGTTGTTGTCCCCTGCCCTGTATGCCAACGATTGACATTGTAATGTGTCCCCCCCGTGCTTCCTGTACTCGAGTGCCAGTCTAAAGTGCAGTGGTCGCGTTCGTGTCTTTACACAGTGTCAAACAAAGCGACTTGCAGATTCACTTTGAAAAATGTGCAGGATGTGATTCTTCACGTCAGCCTGCACATCTAACATTATTTTGGGTCAGGCCGTGCAGGTGTTGCTGCTTCCATACTGTGTCAGATTAATTTGGCCATGTATCAAAAAATATCACACCATTGTCTGATATTTTTATTATCATAGTGAGAAGAAACTCAACATTAGCATCTATGAATGAACAAAATGAATTTATAATAATTATTATTATTTTTAGATCTGCGCCTCAATTTGGGTAACACAAACACCTTGGACGGTGGGCACGGTCCCCTCTGGCCCACCATTTGGCAACGAGTCTGGCACGTACAAATAAGACAATGTTTGGAATGTTGCCTCCGTTGTCACGGTTGCTGTCTCAAAACTAGACCCAAAACAGTACATTATGATTATTATTATGATTATTCTTATTTTATATCATCACACTTAGGAGTTGAATGCTCTGTTTTTGACGGATGAGTCCAGCATGTGCACTGCCACTCACCCTAAGTCAGCTGGGATCTTTCCTGTGACCCTGAACAGGATTACTGCTTTCGAAAATGGATGAATGGTGGTTATGTTAATTTGCCCTGCAGTCAAAGTTGAAGAAGAGAACTCTGATAACTGCAGTAGGTTATTCGGGAAATAAAACCATTCGATAAACCTTTGGTCCATGAGGAGTCTGAGAAAGGTTCATTCCAATGTTCGAAGTGGGCAATTTATTTACTTTTTTTCCAGAAGTCAATTGACACCATCTCCTCCATAAGAAACTCAAGAATTGAAAGTCCTGCTGTCATTTGTCATTTGCTTCTCAGTTCAAGTTCCCGGCCCGGCCCCAAATGTGCAGGCGGCATCAAATACACCGACTTCTGTCACTCTGAGTTGGGAGAAACCCCTCACGGGCAATGGAGAGGTCCTCACCTACAAGTTGTATTACACGGACAAAAGCATTGGAAATGAACAGGTTAGTTCCACAGGACAGGACATTCTTTTCTGTCAGAGATGACAACCTGTGTCATTTGAAGACACTGGTTAGCCACAATTTACAACACAGGTTAGTTCCTGTGGCGCCGAAATGAGCAGAATGTGTATGTCGGAACAGGTCATAATATATGACTAACCGACACTAAGGTAGTAGTCAAGTCAAAGGGGTGAAAACAAATGCATGAGAAACACTCCTTGGCCATGAATATAAAACAATCAAATGGAAAAGAATAAGTACGCCGGTAACTGAGTGTGCCTTTTTTTTGCAACACGATGACTTATGCTTATTCCACTGAACAAAGTTAAGTTTGTCACCTCAAAGCCCCACATATTGGGACTGTCATAAGCTGATGACGCACCTGTAGCATTGAAATGTAACAGTGGTGCTGTGAGAAACATTTTGAAGGTACAATAGTTGCACTCATTTTAAAATTGTTTTCAATTAGTCAAAGTAATTGTACAACAAAACATGCAAATGGGTCCATATTTTAGGAAATGTTTGGGCAACTGTTGATGATCATCTTATAAATGTTATTACTATAATGTTTATGCTAATTGTACTGGTAGGTTGATTAACTTAAATAACAACTTTAAAGCCCAGGAGTATTGTAATACTGTCAAAAGCCCATGACAGTAAACGTTGGCATATTTTTTTTTCTGCAGGTAAAGCTGTTTCGTAGGAGTACAATTCAGAGGTTTAGATATTTAGTCAGCCCGAGCAGCTGCCGCATGCAAGCCAGCGAGGCATTAAAAAGCCTTTAATATGATAATGAATGAAACGTCATCCGGTGCATTGAGTAATGATGCCTCAGTTCCCTGGAGGAGGGAGCTCGAGATGAGCTGGTAAAAACTAAGAAGCGGAGAGGGCTGCAAAGAAACGACCTCTAACACTGTACCTGCAAAAGTAAATGACGACATACTGTACTCGAAAATGCATCTTGAAGTGCAGAGTTGCTATAGAAATTCACCACGCCAAATGAAGAAGTTATAATTGCATTTCTATGGAAGCAAAGTTCGGTTTGACAAACTAAGAACTAAATGCAAATGGGCTTTAAGAAATTTAGGACACGCTGATTAGCCTAGTTAGTGAAGCGAAACTTGAGAGGAACCATGTATGCCGTGCTTTTATTATCTGAATTTAGATTAGATAAGGTCATGCTTTATTACTGTCACTTCTGGGAAACCTGAATGTTACAGCCGTAACAGTTTGATTGTTATTCCAAGATAAAAAGTAGTCTTGGCCTCAATGAAAAGTAAAGAAAAAAACGGACTTTGTGTGAAAGATATTGCTTAACCCGCTGTATGCTCTTTATATTGATTTATTCTCAATTACAATGTCAATGCGTCTTATAAATACCTGTGTCTCATCCTTGCAACACATTTTTTTGAAGAGACTACTCACATGCTTCTGTCTTTCTCCTAGGATGTTGACGTAAATGGTCTGTCATACACCATGACAGGGCTAAAGAAGAATACGCAGTACAGTTTTCGTGTGGTGGCCAACAATAAGCACGGTCCGGGTGTCTCCACTGATGACATTGTGGTCCGCACACTGTCTGATGGTCAGTCGACACACATTTGTACTGGCAATTATTTCATTACCTTATTTAATGAAGCACGTAAAATATTATTAGAGACCGCTCTCAGTATGCTGCAATGCTGCTCTACAGTACTGCAAAGTACAATCGCAATAATAAACATACTGTTACAGTCCTACTTCGCTGACACAGTCAATCAAACCTAAGAATTATCATCTTCCTAAAGGCCGCCATTTTCATGCAGCCCTTGTATTGATTTTATGAGTGAATGTCGCTTTTCTTCAATGCTTATAAAGTTGTCTTCTTCCTCGCAGTGCCAAGTGCTCCTCCTCAAAACTTCACTCTGGAGGTGCAAAACTCAAAGGTAAACCTCAGTTTAAAAGGTTTTTGTGTTTTCTTTTTTTCCTCTGAGCGGGAGCTGCTCATTTTGTGAAAAAAATAGATTCCCTGCCAAGAGAATACACCAGCGCTGTGATTTTGTGTGTGTGTGTGTGTGTGTGTGTGTGTGTGTGTGTGTGTGTGTGTGTGTGTGTGTGTGTGTGTGTGTGTGTGTGCGTGTGTGTGTGTGTGTGTGCGTGTGTGTGGTGTGCGTGTGTGTGTGTATGCATGTGTGATTAGATGCATGGCACAGACTCGCAGCCTCAGCTGGTTAAGAGGGTGTGTGAACCCTTATCGATCGTCTCATCAGTAGCAGGCTGGGCTGTCAAAGTTTATTTCCTCTGTATCAGGCTCCATCAGTACACTTTCAGCTAAAGACATGCTGCTAAATGGATATGCAAGTCTTACATATTGCAAACAAGCAGTAGAGGATGGCGTCACTCTTTTACACCATTAAAATCCAACAATCACAAATCATCCAAGATTTGGTTGTGTGGAATGCATTTTCCCTCATTTGGTTTGCAGGGCATTTTCTATAGAGTGGACTGTAGTTTATTGTGGGTGATATATGCCAAACTTCCGCAACAATTGGTGAAAACATATGATATAGAAAGAATAAAAATGAATAAAATAATTATATATTTTTCAACCCCACCGCCCGATCACTTTGAACATATTTAAAAATTTGTGGCTTGTCCACCTCACAGCACAGAGGTCATGGGTTCGATTCCAAAGCATTTTTAACTTCAAAAATATTGATTCGTCACTCCTTGTTGAAGTTTAATGTAGAACTGACAGATAAAGCATTCGATAATTACAATTATATTTGTATATTGAAACACCAAAACAACATTTTGTTTAATAAATGTCCGCAAGCTTCTGCTAACATAGAATGTGAAATGACATAGACGGGCTAATGTAAATTAGCCTAAATCAGGAATAGACAACTGGTGGGTGACAAACACACTCTAAGTGGCCCCTTGATTCCATTAAAAAAAAAAAAAAAAAGCGGAGAGGGGGACGTTTTTTTTTTAAATACCACACCCATCCCCCAAAAGAAAAAAACTTCAAAAAGTCCTGTGCTGATGAACATTCACCATACGTTTTCCAAGGAAACCAGGGGAAGTGGAAGAAAAAAAATCTCTGGAAAATACCCCAAATATTGAAAAATCACTGGGAAACAAAAAATCTCAGCGAATAAGCAAATCTGCGGCACCACGTACAAACATAGCATGCAACAATCCTCAGAAGGATACATTATCTTGGCTCTGTGGGAACAACAGTTACTGGCACTTCGTTGTGGACTTTTTGTGCCTCAAATTAACTGCCATTTATTCTGCTGCATTTCATCCAGTAAACCCCAGTGCAGCTCGGCATCTTGTAGCACATGCCACAACACTAAAATCACTCTAAATTCAGACTCTGCGACAGTATGTACTGTAAAACGCTGAAAAAGCAAGTCCTTCAAAATGTGCGATAAAGTGGAGGGTCACTGCATACATAAATTTTCGTCGAATTCCTTAGTGATGACACGTGTGGGGGTGTCACGGTTTAACCATAACATAGAACTTACACCACAAAGTGTACCAACATTTACCACAAATATCGTCCAATAAATGGTCACTTGAAATGCATTCTCCATCTTTTGCTGGAGCAAAATGTTTAGTCTTTGATCCTCCTGCTATATTTAAACAGCTCCCAAGTCTAATGGCAAGTCTTTGTGTGTCAGAGTCTTTTAACTATAATTGTTAAATCCGATTGATTACAGTGGAGGACACTGTAGCTCTTGTGTGACACCGCTGATTCGACAGGCTGCTGAGGTGGCCGCGGGCTTCACAACAAACGCCTGATGAAAACAGGAAGCTGCCTTAGATGGCCTCTCTTTTGATCCATTACTGTACATCTTCAGTCAGAGGGCTGCAGGCCTGTTCATTGCACGCTTCCACCAAGTGAGGGATACAATTTTCAAAAGATGTTCCTTACTAATGGTATGTGAGACATAACGTGTAAATCGAGAGCCTGGAAGCAGAGGCGAAGGTAGAAAAAGTGCATGCGCTGAAAGTAAATGTTGGAGGATGGAGGCCTTTGCTGCGCACAGACTGAGTGAGAGAGAAACGTCAAAGCAATGCGGAAAAAGAAGCTGTTGAATAATGCCATCACACGCGAGCAGCTTGAGAGGGAACTGGCCACACGTGTGGAGGGAGAGTCAGCTGAGATTTGAGTGCTAGAAAACAACAGGTGCTGCTGCACATGTTAAAAGGAGTCGTTTGGTAGAAAGGACAAGAATTGTTTCGCTTTGGGCTCAAGGCAGAACAAGCCCAATTTAAGTGTGAAACAAATAACTGGCCTTCTTTTGTTTCCACACATTGTTTAAATGCTTCCTCTGATTTTTTTTGCCTTTGCTTTCAGACAGTTTAAATTTGAACATGAGTAGTCAAAAAGTATAATTGGACAAGGCTTTTATGCTTCGTCTCATTTGCTAACAGTAATATTAGAAAAATGATCATATGTTTCATATTTTCTGTTCACTCTTCACTTTCTTCCCTTTTGACTTTCTGAACAGTCAATTCAACTTTGTTCCTAGTTTGAAGAATAGACAAATGCACCCTGTTTGAGTGCTGGCCGATCATGCAAAATGAAAACTACACACCATTCATTTCATTTGTTCCTTTTTCCCAACGGGGCCGGAAAGTGTGTGTGACCTGCATTCAGCCTTTTGTGTATCAGTGTGACAGTAGGGAAGCATTAATTAACTCTTTGCTCATGCTGAGCTACCCCCCACCTGTCTCTTTAAACACACAAAATTCCGGGCGCATGAATCCCAGCATGACATGTGAGCTTGCAAGCAAAATTCACACCTAGAGCTCCCGTGTGCCTGAGTTTTTTGTGAGGCCTTCACACCACTGTCAAGACAATATAAATGAGTTCGCCTGATGCCTCTTTCCCACAACGTGGCACCATCTTGGCTGGCCATGGCTTTTATTTGGCACCCAAGTGTCAGTGCTTGCAAGGTGCACACTGACAGCCTCCAACATATTGTTTTCAGCTAGGTACATAATTCAAATGAAGTTGGGACATTGTGTCCAACATGAATATAAACGGAATATTTCATGCAACGTCCTGTACGACTTCATTGGAATTGGAATTTGTGAATCGTAGCTCACGTTAGCATTTCCATTGTCCAAACCACATGCAGTGGTTTGAACAATGATCCAGTCAAGTAGAGCGTGAAAACACATTTTTAAAATGATCGCTTTCAAGCGGGGGAACAAGTTTGTATTTATGCGTCCTCATGCCTACAGGCCGAATCTAACTGAGTGGCGAAGGTTTGCAAGTGTGCGTGCGCACATAGCGAATGTCGTTGGGTTTTTGTTTCATCAGGGTTCATTTGTGGTCACAAAGATATTGTCACGAAGACATTTTTAACATGTTTAAAATTTTATGGTGAAACTGTGACCCCAAAAAAAAAGATTCGCTCCATGTGCACACACTTTCAAACCTTTGCCAATCAGTGTGATATGTGATTTACGAAGTAAAACTGTTTTCTTGAACTCTCCGCGACCCACTTTTGATTTGGGTCCTACGAGTTGAGAATTACTGACATTGACCACTGGTGGTCGCTCATCACGTAGATTTGTCATGTGTGCAAATGAGTGTAACATTTGAGGATTCACATCTAGACAAAACACAAATGAACACACGCAAGCTGTAGTATGACACTTCACAGTCTCCACTATGTTCAAAGTATTTTTATGGTTGCATTGACTCTCATTTGCCCTTCATAGAGCATCATGCTTCGGTGGCAGCCGCCGCCCTCAAATTCCCAGAATGGAGAAATCACTGGTTACAAGATCCGATACCGTAAAGGATCACGGAGAAGTGAGACAGCGGAGACCACTCGGGGGAACCAGCTTTCCAAGCTCATTGATGGTAACAAACACTGACTGACTAGTTCCACTCGGGTCATTTTAGTTAATAAACTCACCGTGGTGTTTTATTGCATTTAGATATTGGATATACCATATGCATTAAAATCTTCTCAGCAGTTAAACATAATCCGTTCCGAGACACTTGGTGAACATTGATTAGTTATGGATTTCAGTTTGTCCCGTAGGAAATATTACAAAAATTGATCCATTCTGGGGTCAAAATGTCACCATTGCGGAACTTTCATTAGCTGTACAGACGATTTTTAAATTACATTTGACATTGTCAACGTTTGTTAAAATAAGTAATATGGAATGATTCAACAATGATTACTTTGACTAACAAATGCAGAATGTGATGGTACTTTAACTCCAATCGAAGGTGTCCCCCTTATTATTAACACTCTTAAGAGGTTACACTGTATTGTATTGAGAAACTGCTTTTCCTGAAAAAAAAAATTAAGTCATGGCTGATACAGTCCTGAAACGTAGGACGAATGCATCCAATAATTTACTGAGCATCTCAAGGATTCTCAATGAGGTGCAAGTCTCGACTACCTATGGGTAATTCATGTGTGAAAAAGAGCTGAGCTGTTCGCTGTTATTTACCTCTGCTGTCAGCTGTTATCATTCATTTGGTTATTGGATTGGTTTTGGTGCATGTGGACTTAGTTTTCAGAATGGGGGGAGGGGGTGGGGGGGCTGGGGACTGGGTGGCCCAGGGCCTTTTTAATTTATCAGCACATGAATATGATCTTAACATGTGTCGGTGTGTTTGCATAATACTGTTACACCCCCCACGGCTATCACCCAAATCAATCAGTGATTAATATTAGATGTTGGCTCAGCAACTTTAAAGTGGCATGACCCCCCGCTGTGCACTACATCAAAGAGAATATGCACTTAAAAGTTGATTCTATCCTTTCTCAAACATTCTGGAGGCATGAAACAGAGGGATGTTTGTTGGTTCAAATGCATTTAGAGGGAGCTGTAGCCTCGGAGGCACGGGGTTTGGCAGACTTTCGAAGCTACCCCGAGGGTGGCCCAGAATAGTCGGTGCAAGGAGTAAGAACCAACTACAAGATGAGCATGTTGAAAGGAAATTGGATAATTTTACAATGTTCTTTTTTTTTTCCAGATGAATAAAGCAGTAGATCATTTGTCAGTAGTCTCTCATGAATACCAATGCCGGCACCTAGTTGTGAAACTGCATCGTGACTATTCCAAATGCTTTTAGTTTTTTTCTCAATTTCCAGTGAGCTGTTTCTTTTGACACATTTTTCTTAAGTGCTGCATATTTGTACCGATCAAAACCGTCTAAACCCATGTGGAGACGTCAAATTTCATCTCCTTGATGTTTTGGGGAAGGGAATACTGTGGTACCACATGGTGAGGCAGGCTTACGTTTTTTCTCTTTGGATTCTGCAGAGTAGTTTGGTGCATCTGTTAAAAAGTATTTGCACTAAAACGCAAGTCAATACAAGTAACACTTCCCCCCGGTGCAGGTCTTGAGCGTGGAACAGAGTACTCCTTCCGGGTGTCTGCCATAACTGTGAACGGCACGGGCCCAGCCACTGACTGGACTACAACAGAGACATTTGAGAGTGACTTGGATGGTAATATTCCGTGCTTTCCTTTTTTTCATTCTTACCCAGACTCGCCTTCAATAAATGTTTTATTTGACACTTCTTTTGCCAGAATCCCGGGTCCCAGACCAGCCCAGTTCACTTCACGTCCGCCCACTGGTGAACAGCATCGTGGTGAGCTGGACGCCACCGGAGAACCAAGACATTGTTGTACGTGGCTACAGCATTGGCTACGGCATTGGCAGCCCTCATGCTCAGACCATCAAAGTAGATTACAAGCAGCGCTACTACACTATTGAAAGCCTTGGTAAGAAAATTTGAAATGATAAGATATTTTAAGATCCAATCTGATTGCAAGGTGTGTGTTGCACTTTTCAAAGATGTACTGATTTGTTGACTAATTGTCACTAAATTACACCGATGGGTGTTTGTGTCTGAGAGCACGAACAGACACTAATAAAGACCCGTGGGAAGATTGTTCTTGTGAAGTCACCAAATCTGCTGCTCATTTTAAAAAGATGCAAATTGGTTAGATTTTCTCACGCGCAGATAATTAAAGTACACCGCCGATTTTATTCATGGTGGCAATTTAGAGGATTAATGAGCACTGAACTTCTTCCGCGTGTTGATACTCACACCAACCGGGGACAAAAAAAAGATTTAAAGGTGAAGTCCCCAAAAAATTCTTTACATCAATATGTTTGATGCATCCCCGCTAGTCTTAACACGCCATTCTGAATATTATTAAGCAGCAAAATCCACCCATTTTTAATGCATCACAAGGGGTGGCCATTTTGCTACTTGCTGTCCATTGAAAACGACATCACACTGCCTAAGGGGCTCAGGTAACGACTAATCACAGCTCACGTTTCTGAGTTTGAGCCATGATTGGCCGAGGACCTAAAATATGATCAATGCTGACATTATTTTTGATTGTAAGAAGACCGACATTGGAATTTTTGTTTATATAGTGCTAATGTCAATCGGTTGTCTAAGTCATGCGGAAAAAGTCTCTTTGTTTCCAAAGGTGTACTTGATCTATTCGTGATGGCAAATTGCCTCATTATGCATATTTGAAGCCTTCATTGCAGCAAGAGGAATTATTTTATTCAAAATGCCCTCTCTCGCTAATCTCGCCATTATGGGTTGAGAATCTCTCGAGTTTCAGCTTGATTAGACAGCTGCATCACTTTATATTGCTAAAATCCATCTTTGCATCTCTCTTGTTCAGACCCCAGCTCCCACTATGTGATCACACTCAAAGCCTTCAACAACGTGGGTGAGGGGATTCCTGTATATGAGAGTGCCATCACAAGGCCACAGTCAGGTAGGAGGTGCACAAATCTACCACCGAAAAACCCGCAAGACTGATGTGACACATTTATATTCACAGTTTTGTTGTTAAAGTTCGGTAAAATATCGGAACGTCACATTCGGTACACTTTCACAACTTGATTTGATTTGCTCAGCAAATTAACATTGCGAATATTACACACCCCTATTTGCTACAGTGCATTTTGACCCTACTGTAAACTTCAAGTACGACAGTAAACGCAATCTAAGCACACCATTGTTAAAACTTCACTTGAATTGGTTCTCATTAGAATGTAAAGATGCACCAAATGTTATGGCTACCGAATGTACCATAAGATGGAATAAGTCAAGGAGGGCCTCTTTTTAAACAAGTGTTTGCCTAAAGGCCGGATCATCTCACGAAGCGAGAAACGTTTGCGAGGGCGCGCACACGTAGCGAATGCTTTTTCGTCAGAGTTCGTTCAAGGTCACAAAGACGCTCGCCGACAATTTGGGTCTCAAACAGTTTTTTTCTTTTCTCGGGCATGTTTGAAATGTGATGGCTGAACTGACTCTGTAGAGGTAGGTGGTATGGCCAGCTATAAAACACGGCGCTCCACTTGCCACAATGGTCTGTTGTAAAGTTATTTTTGCTGTCCCTTTGTGTGTAAGAGCTCCGCTGCCCTCAGGCATGAAAATAGGCGAGCTAGTTATAACATATATCTCAATTAAAGACCGAAACACAAGTCTCAATCTGGTGGTCGCCACAAATGATTTTCTAGTGTGGTTCTATGAAAGCAGACTTCAGACACACTTTGTGTCAGTGTATGACGATAAGTTGCATGGGATCCCTGCGGCGTCCCAAAGGGGGGTCTGCACCCTCCCCCCTTTCAAATCTCGACTCGCAGCTCCCCGCTCAGCCTTGATGGCGCCACTTTGTCTCCTCCATAGCACTGTTGCAATGCTGAGAGGGCGGGATGCTAGACGACATGAATCACGTCAGCATGCTTTGAGGGCGGATGGCAATCTAAGTGCACACACGCACAAGCTTCTCTGTGAGCTTTATTGCTCCTCCTCACATCCTCGTAGACACACGCACAGTGTTGCACACACCCGGACCCCCTGTGGTGGCTTTGGCAACCCTTCGTCAGATCCAAACGTTTCCTCTCAAAGTAGAACCAAAAACCTTCCACCATCGTCTGCTGCTGCTTCCTCGGGGGCGCGTTCTTTTCCTGCCAGTTTGTTCAAGTCAGGATTAAAAAGACAAGCTGACCTACATACTACTTATACTTTGGAAACATATAAAACTGTGGAAAAATTTGGTGAATTTGAGTTGAGGGAGTATGGGGTGGAGCGTGCATTGTAACCCTTGGACTTAATGTAAGTGAAAAGGATGCTCTGGTAGTTAGAAGAGAGGGAAAGGAACCCTCTTCATTATTTTAGTAATCCATGTGCAAATAATGGGGATTCAGTTTTCCCAGAGTTGGGTACACAAAAACAAAAATGCAGCTTCTGCATTTCACTCAAAAGCCACAATACTCTCCATAACCGCATGAATGCTTGGGTCGTCACCATGTGCCGCGGCACAAAGAGCTTAGAACGGTGAATGTAGTCCTGCAGGGCGAGGACCATCAGGTGGTTGAAGAGAGTCATCGCGGATGACTGACCAGAGCTTATTCTTTTATCACTTAATGGAGTGAAGATCCTGAAGAAGTCAAGCACATGCTTCAAGGGTGGGGGGAACCCTTCTGTCGAAGAAATGTCCCGTATCTGTGGCCATTTTGCTTTAAAAAGATGAAACATTGCACTTTTCTTAGCATGTTACCGAAGAACATTTGAATGAAAGTATGTAAAATAATTCTCTGTAATCAATGCGCCATCTCTTCCCTTCCCTCACAGTAGTACTAGATATTGATACCACGCAGCAACATTTAAAAGATTGTAGATTTGTCTGATTTTAGAGGTCAGTGTCTGTTTTTCTAATAGAATCTTTTCTCTTTCTCTTCACCCTTCCCAATCCCATGTTCGTTGTGCTTCTGTTTGGTTTTGCCTTTCACCCTTCCATTCTTGCTTTTAACTTAATAACCTTATTTTCCTGGCTGTCCGTCCTACCCTGCATCCCGTCTGGACTCCCGCCCAATGACCATGCCATGCATTTCTTTGTGTTTTAATTTGCTCATTTTAATTTATGCGCTTGCATGTGGGTTTACTGCCTGATGGGCAGACCCCATAGACCCTGATGTTGACCTGTACGAACTCTTCCATGCTCCATACACCCCAGTACCAGATCCCACCCCCATGATGCCACCTGTGGGTGTTCAGGCCTCCGTGCTGAGCCACGACACCATCAAAGTCACCTGGGCAGACAACTCGCTGCCCAAGAACCAAAAGATCACAGATAACCGCTATTACACGGTGCGCTGGAAGACCAACATCCCTGCCAACACTAAAATGAAGGTAAGAGTCTTGTTGAGTAGTACACACTGCATATCGATTAATATTGTTTAGTGCAAGCCTTAAGCCACTGATACCTCTGTTTCTTTAAAGACAGCCTTTTTCATAGAAACAATCAAAAAGGCGAATGGCAGGTAGCCCAAGGGGGCAAGCTAGGAATTTGGGGATTGGGTCGATAATGGAAGCCAAGTGAGAGCGGCAGAATGAAGGATGAAACTTTCTAAGAAAGCATCTTTATTTAATGCAACGCAGAAAATTACACTTTTTAGTGCAGTAGGGGCGGATGTTGACCGGTTTTCCTTGTAATCCCCCGGATTTTGCTGCGCCACTGTCATCTTTATCCGGATGGATAGATGGCGCCGTTTCATAAAATGAAATTACTAAGCACCATGGATTAGTTGATCTTCTTTGAATTCAATAATGGTCAAACTGAACATCTTCCTTTTTGTAACAGATTTGTGCTAAATATATTGTCCAATCAATCGTCACCATTAAAGGAGCCCCAATCAATTGTTGCTTTTCACATAAGCTGAATTGCACACTTGCGTAGTCACATGACTTGAGTTCTGAACCTCCTGAAAGTCCAGTCAGTCCTTCTGCAAGAACTTTGATTGCCTTTGTGTAGCACTTCCTCACTTGGAAGGGCACCACCAAGCAATTGGGGTTGTGCGGATTTGGCAGGATGAACCACTTTTTTCAAGTTGAGGACATTGCCAGAGACATACGGCAGGAGAGTGGGGAAAAAACACCAATAGAAATAGTAAACGTCCACAATTTATTTTGTTTTTCACAAGATGTTTTCGAATGCTCCCAAAGATGACTATATCCAATATTTGTTCTTCGTTCATATCCTCAAACAGTATGTCATACAACATGTACAGTGGACCCCCACATAGTCACAGTTCAACACCTGTGGGTTCAGTTTTTCGCAGGATTATTATTTTTTTTTTAATATATTCATTTTAATTTTTTTTTTTTTTATTCTTGGCGGTGCGGGGCAAGCCCTGTTTTTCATGGAGGATGTCTAGTGGCGGTATACGTAATTATATAATATATAATTATTCAAGAATTTATAATGATTGTCAGTTTTTCACTGATTATCGCTATTCGTGGGCTGACACGGTTCCATTCCCCTGCAAACAGCGGGGGGCCACTGTCTATATTAATTAACAGAAATACAGATATTCAACTTTTGTCTGAAGACACCAGCGATAAAGAAAACAGTATTCAAGCATGTTCGGCTTCAAAAAACTACAGTATGTTATCAGTGCGTAGTGATCGGTGTTGTTGCTGCACACACAGGAAATCCCACAGCCAATTTTCTGGTTGGTCACGTGACGTTCTGCAAAAGGTTCGTTGGGGCCCTGTGAAAAAAAATCTCACTTTAAACCCCTCCATGCTAATGCCGCAAAATGAAAATGCTCACACACACGGCCCGGTGTTATGAGGCCTCTGATGTTTAATATTATTTGTTGGCAATGACATCAGAAACTACAATGTCACCTTGTATAGCGTGCTCATCACCTACGTATGTGGATCCTTGTTTTCTCAATTGAAAATTACAATAAAATCACCATATGCATAACCTTACATTCAGGTTTCCTCTTCGGTTTATGCACCACCCGTCCACATAATGTTGCAGTAGTAATTGCTATTTCAGAAACTAACACATACATCCAAAAGCTTTTAGCAATGAATGAAGTAATAACACTGGCAGCCATTGAACCACATTATATGGAAACAACATAATAAAAATATTAGACATCGAAGCCCAAAATGATGGAATGTTCTGAAGTCTGTCAGACTTGAACACAAATTTGTTTTGTTCTCCCGTCCACAGATTGCCAACACAACCAGCTTGAACCACGTGGTGACAGGATTGAAGCCCAACACCTTGTATGAGTTTTCCGTTATGGTGACCAAAGGCCGACGCACCAGCACATGGAGCATGACAGCCCAGGGAACCACCTTTGAAACCAGTAGGATCACTGTAAACATGCATCAAAATGTGACAAAACACATAAACCTCTCACATATCGTAGCTAATCATTGATTATTTCACAGTTGGATGCAAGCTGATGAAATGAGAGACACTTTTTTCCCCATTACATTGTTCCTCCTACTATTCACTTGGATGGAGGATCGGGACTGAACCCGACCACGAGTTGCGAAAACCTGTGAATAATTGGGAAACACCCTCCCCCACCCCTACCCCTCCTATAGGGGTTAATTATTAGCTGTGGGTTCCAAAGCACTGCTTTACTGCTTAACTACGACAGGGCAATGGACGAAATAAATATCCTCCACTCATTTCAGCCTAGCTCCTCGGCACAAAGATGCCAACAGACGGTGCCAAAGCAGTACTTTAACATTAGTTAGACAGGGAGAATACTTCGTGTACATAAGAACACGAACATATATGAGGGTTCTTTTTTGATTTTTTTATTGTGGTGAATGCCCTCTGTCATTTCCCTCCTTAGTTCCTAGCTCCTCCCCCAAAGACGTGACAGTGGTGAGTAAAGAGAACAAACCTCGCACCATCATCATCAACTGGCAGCCTCCCTCTGAGGCAAACGGAAAGATCACAGGTGAGTCTCAAAAAAATTTACACGGTCTCATTCCATTTTTTTCCGCACACTCAGTCTGAAATGTTACACTGGTCAACAGCAAATCTTGATCAGATATGGCTTTGTGTGTCCCAAAAATGTTTTTTGGGCGGTGATTTAAAAAAAATGTCTACTCTTTCTAAGTGGTCAGATTTTTGCCATAATTTCATTTTTTGTTTTTGGTTTTAAATTTGACCAATAAAAGTTTGTGCAAACTATTTTACAATGCCTTGTAATTATAGCTATGATGTTTCAGAAAAAAAAACCCACCCGCTGCTGAACATAATCCTTAATTCAGAAATATTTCAATATATATTACTATATTACATATCACATTATTATTATATTACTACTATTAAACAATCAAAACTATTAATCAAAAACATATATATATATATATATATATATATAAAGCCATCACACCAAATAATTGACCTCCCTGCACTCTCCTTTCTAGGCTACATCATCTACTACAGCACAGATGTCAATGCTGAGGACCACGACTGGGTTGTTGAACCCGTGGTGGGCAATCGCCTTACTCACCAGATCCAGGACCTTACTCTAGACACGACATACTACTTCAAGATCGAGGCTCGAAACTCAAAGGGCATGGGCCCAACATCTGAGGCTGTACAGTTTAGGACCCCAAAGAGTGAGTTTTTCTAAAATCACATTCAGACTAAATATGAGCTGCATTTGAAAGCACACATTGATTGGGACTGCTAAATAAAATGTTTACAAGAGTCAGATCGTATCGAAATGGAGATGCTATTTTCTTGCTTAATCACACTCATTGGCCACTCCATTGGGCTACATGCATTCAATTTGAGTAAATATCCTGTACCTCCAAATAGTCCATTAAGACAAATAACGACCTCCCTCATATAATAATAGCTTACATTACAGATAATGTAGTTCGCTTCAATTGACCCGAGACCACTTAACAAAAACCTCAAGCGGTAATTAATATGTTGAGTATCTTAGACCAGGATGTTAGCATAAAGGCTTGTTTCGGCTCGCGATACGTTTGCCAAGAATGATGTATTTGACACAATTCTCACATAAACAATACCGTCATATTCATTTTTGTACAAGCCATCCATTGTCGTCTGCACGAGGACTGATTAAAAAAAAAAAAAAAAAAAAAACTCAAAATTAAATACAACAAGAGATCCGGCCGTGACTGTCTCACTTGCCTGCTCTTTATTTTATATTCCCATTTCCCACAGTAACTACGCCACTTTACGCTCATCGCTGCGCAACGCTTCGACACAGGCAGCAAACTCTCCAAAGCTAACTTGGCTGGGGAGGCTTTACCATGCACCGAGCAATCACAATTCAGTAGAATTGGCCCCCTAAAGAAGTGATGGTGTAACCAAGATTACGTTTGTTCAATGTCAATTCACATCAAAACACACCAATTAAAAGCTGTGTTGTTGGTACCTTGAACAGCAGGCATTCACCGAGTCTAGCCGCCGGCTCGTCATCAGGCGGGTCATGTTCAAGGCTCCAATCCCCACCAGCTCCACTCTGCAGTAATACATGAAACCAGATTTTGCTCCCTTTCAAGTCTAATATGACCACAAATCTGAGGCATCATCTTATTCGAGCTTTGTTGCCATCAGCAACAGTTGTCTGTGCAGAATCACAAGCATGGTCAAACATTGGTTCAGGATGAGGCAAATATGTTTTTCCAAATATTAAAAACAGGCATACATTTTTGTGTCGACCAATTTTGTGTGGGTTGACTTTTTTTCGCAGCCCTACGCGCAACCCACCCACATTTTTGGGAAAATGAGCTGCAGTTTCACTCCAAGTCGGGGGTGTCGCTTTGGCTGATTTTGGCTCGGACACCACAGGGTGGAGTTTCCTCTGCATTTTCTGGCCAATTCCGCAAGTCGTTTTTAATTGTGGAACAAGTAAGAAAGCAACAACAATGGAGACAGTGGAACATTGCTCGAACAAATGGACCTGGATGCAAAGATGATGCGTTTCGTGCCATTGCGATATCGATCAAGAAGGTCGCGGCGTAGGTGGTACTGAGGAACATAGCTGGGGAAAGTACATCATCGCAGCACGTGACTAAGCGGACCAATCACAAGAGACGTTGCGCGTAGCCTTTTATGCGCAGTGACAACATGTGTCACATGCACGGCGTGTGTTGCGGAGGTGCATCGGTCGCGTTATGCTATGCGGCTTTTATCAGCCACGCAAACGCGGAAGCATAAAGAGGCCTTAAGAGTAACTTGCGTTTTATAGTGAGTAGCAATGTGATGGAAGCTTCAAGATGAGGTCTGACAGGCAGCCATGGCCCCTTGTGGGGTAACCACTATGTTGCTAAGATGAACACAAAGAACTGTATGTGAATATGAACGAAGCCTCAACACCAAGATGACTCTGCAGTTTTTAAGACGATTTCACCTTAAATGTGGATGATTTCCTTTACGCGATCTAGTCCGTCTCAGTTCTTGCCGTTTCCCCATGATTGCCCTTTTTATTTGGTGTAGCCACTCCAGTTTCACTTTATAGAATTTGTAATATGAAGGTGACATTGTTTATGCCTTCCCTTATCTGCAGCTCAGTAAATACTCCCCTGAAAGGGCGGTACGTGATTTCTGCCTAATCGAACATTAATGTGCTGTAACATACACTTCTTAGTATAGTGGTACATGTATTGTTAAATTCATACCTCTCTGTCGGTGACCTAAACAAGTTTAAATCTGATGGATCTCATTAAAACATTGCACATCTTGAGCCCGATCCGTGAGTTCGTATTTTCAAACCAAAATAATCTCTTTTTTCTATTTATTTATTTTATTCCAGTGGAGAAGAAACATTTCTGTTGATTTTGATTCCCAAAGCCTTTACTCTCTTATTTACTCTTGACCATAGATGAGGAGCATGTCTCACAATTTGGCTGTAAGCATTTTCATTGAAAGCCTCGTCACGTTTGACAGGGTTTGAAATCAGAGGTCTGCGCTATTTGTTGGAAACTTTGTGTTACTTAATTTTCTGCTTGCCTTTGCTGTAATGCACTTCTGTTTTTGTTGTTGTGTTTTATTTGACTCAATTTCAAATTTTACTGCCACCGCCTCCTCACAGGCTTCATCTCTTGCTCTGTTTCCTCCTCCCTTGCCACTCTTTTGAGCTAACCTGTTTTTTTTTAATTTTCTTTTCTCCCTTTCTGTGCTTCTTAAGCTGAATCCTCTGACAAAATGGCAAATGACCAAGGTAAACTCCGCTCACACTTCATCTTTGTGTGTACCAATGCTGACTCTGCTCTTCTCACCAAAGATTTCCAACTTCTGGGCTGGTATATAAGCTTTGGCTTTTGCTCAGAGAAAGTTTTTGATCACAGTATAGCTCATTGACCTACCATACGCAGTATGATATGACAGGACCAGAAGCCATTCAATTTGAAGACTTTGTGTCGGGCACATTTTTCCCTCATGAAGCCACTCTTTGTGTCCACTGACAGCCTCAAATCTGCCATCGAAACCTGGACCTCCAGGCAACCAACTCCCCCTTGATCCTGGATCAGCAGTTGGTAAGATTTGCCACATTTTCAGCTTCATCAAACACAAATGATAAGTACACTATACAAATGGCGTGCAAACTGAAGATATTTTACAAGTGGCCATATTTAGAATGGCCGTCATAACAGATTTGTTGATGGTCAGAAATTGGGTCAGTTGTGCAGAATTGACTGTTCATTTATTTGGGGGCCTGGAAAAAAATACATCGCTTTGGGCTCCACCACTTCAAAGCCACAAATTGGTAATACAGTACTATTTTCTTGGGCCACTGTCATCACTTTTTGCCGTCTTAGAGGCCCCTAGCTTCATCCACGCTATGGTAACTGCTATACTTGAAACAAAACTTTTTAAAAACAATAACTCCAATAGTGGCACTCTAGGAATCTGCAGACCTTTGAATCTTGTTGGGTTTATAAATCAATTAGCGTTTCTTGAATGTATTCGGGACTCAGGGTGTGTGCTGCCTTTACGGTTACCATGTTAAGTGATAAGTGGTCTCTTTCAAGGCAAATCGGGGATGGGAAACAGTGAAAATCACATCCTGGTCATCGTTGTCATCATCTCTGTGGGAGCGTTCACCATCATCGTGGTGGTTGTGGGTGCCTTCCTGTGCACACGGCGCACCACCTCACACCAGAAAAAGTAAGCGAAAGATATGACATGTCAACATAGATCTTTTTGTGTTTGTTTGTTTTGTTTTTGTCCATAAGCCTTTCAATCGATGAATCATGAGTTCGCTGCTTTTCTCCGCTCAGCACAGCCTCTTTCTTACCAATTGTAGTCCCTATGAGGCAACAAGGATTGTAAGTCGATAAGAAGTCTGCTACTTCCGTTCAGGTTCCCAGTCAGTCGTAATTCTCAACCAATCATTGTAAAAAAAAAAAAAAAAAAAAAAAAAAAAAAAAAAAGTTTTTATTGGGG